ATTGGGCTTCTGTGGGTATTCCTGAATAGCTGATCTGAAGTCATCAAATCCCTCCAAATTAAACCTGAAAGAACCTGAACCCTGTACCAACCAGCTTTACATAACCAATAAAGAAAGGATCTAGGCACCCTGATAACACAAGCAGAAGCATACTTCAACTTAATTCTGATATCAGAATCATAAACAACAAAAGAAATTCACATGCCAAAACCACAACGAAAGAATAATAAAATGGAAAGCTAAAACCCTATGTACCCAGCAAAGCCCACCAATCCTGTAAAAGAGCTCTATAAGGAGAACCCCCTAGAGATAAACCAGGACACTGAATCTAAAAGAACAATCATAAGCACAATCAAGGAATTCAATGAATTTAAAGAACACATGAACAAAAAAATCAAAGAGCTAAAAGAAGATAGGGTAAACTTCTGAATGAACTCACAAAAGAGATACAAACACTGAAGAAAACTCAGGCAGAAATGAAGAAAGAAGTTCAAAACTCAATAAGTCAACTTGAAACAACAGGGGAATGTCTCACCTCTAGAATGAATGAAATGGAAAACAGAGTATCAATACTAGAGGACAAAGTTGAAGAATTGACCACTCAAGCAAAGAGTATAGAAAATTTTAAAAAACACAGGAATGGAATATGCAAGAGATGGGGGACACCATGAAAAGACCAAATCTACGGATCATAGGGATAGAGGAAGGAGAAGGATTTCAGGTTAATGGTGTTGACCAGATCTTAAATAGGATTGTAGAAGAGAATTTCCCAAAATTAAGGAAGGACATCCCCATACAAATACAGGAAGCACATAGAACATCAAATAAACAGGACCAGAAAAGAAACTCCCCATGACATATCATTGTAAAAACACTAAATGTACAGAATTTGGAGTTCATGCATTTCAATCAGTTTATATTCTTTTAACATTTTCTTGCCATGAGAAAACTCCAAAATAAAAACAAAACACCTTTCTCTGATTTAAACTAGCCACCTAGATGATTAAAAATAAGATTACTAGGGGTGGAGAGATGGCTCAATTGTTAAGAGCACTGACTGCTCTTGCAGGGGACCAGGGTTCGATTCCCAGCACCTACATGGCAGCTACTAACCATCTTAACTCTAGTTCCAGGGGAATCCGAGGCCTTCTGACCTCTGTGGCATTGCATGAGAAGGGTGCACTCACATGCACTCAGGCAATACACTCATACACATAAAAAATAAAAAATAATAAAACATTTTAAAAAATAACATTGCCAAAATGAGCTAATCT